AAAAAATTGTAATAATTTTAAATTTAAATGTTTATTAATGCTGTAAACAAATACAGTCATATTTATCAGTAAATGTTTCATGTGTAAAAAAGTGAAAAACAAACAAAGACGTGAAAGAAATTGGATGACTTCACCTTCTAGACGTAAACACGTACGATTTGATTGCTCACGTTCATCTTCTATTATCACTACTACTACTTCTACTACTACTACTACTACTACTACTATCACTGCTATTACTACTACTACAGCTACTTCATCATCATCACAATCAGTATCATCATTGTTACAAAATTATTCCGGTTTCGATATCAAGAATAGTTCTCAAAATTTAATTCAGTCATATTTTCCCACTTTATCGTTTCCATCATCTAATACTATAATAAAGGAAGCATCATTATCATCTCTCATTACTCCAACATTATCATCAACATTATTATTCCATTCACGGGATTCTTCCAATTATCAACAAACTTACCCACAACAAACTTTGCACTTGCCTAACTCCGCCCTACCTCAATATTATCAGCCGAAGTCAATTATCAGGAATAGCCATATCTTCAAAACAGCTGCTGTTGATCAACCATATGAAAATACCTCATCATCCATTCCTTATTCCAATATCCAATCTCTAATTTCAATATCACCACAGCTACAAGTTACAACGATCTCTTCATATCTCGCTAACAGCATGAATTATCTGTCAAATTTGGATATGGTTAAATCTTCGAGATCACAATCGCAACCACATCAGGTTAACATTAACAACTTTACTAATGTATTTTTTCTTTCAAATTATCTTAACTTGTCATCAAAATTTATTTTTAATCGTGCAAATTACAAAATTGAAATTTATTTTGTTGGAAATTTCGAACTTTGGAATTATTATTTTTTATTTTTGAAAAAGTCCGTGTAAAATTATAATGATTAAAAGGCTTAAATTGTAAAATTTGCAAAATTTTAATGAGTATATGCATGTGAGAAAAGGCAGAAAATTTTAATTTTAATAATAACGCAAGCTGTTACTGATATTAGATGAGTGGAAAAACGGAGGTTAAAATAAAAAGCCTACTATTTTCCTATTGATGTAACCAACTAAAAAATGCAAACAATGCAATAATCAAAAGTTTGATGGTCATATTATATATTTCTTAATTATTGTCAAATTTAAATTTGTCTGTTTGAAATTTTGCAAATTTGAAATATATTTTGTTGAATTTTTTTGAATTCCAGAATTATTTCTTCTTGCGAAGGATCGCGTAAAGTTTTAATGCTTACAAATTCTTTTCTATTTGATTGCAAAGGGAAAAATTCTATGTTCGAATCAGCTTAATTATATTATGAAATAAAAAGTATCTCTTTTGCTTTTTTCTTTCCTGAGCTTTTAATTTTCCGTTTTT